TTTTCGTGAGACCCGTAAGACCAATTTATGTTCATTGATCAAATTTATGAATTAATGATCTAATGGTTGCAAAGTTGCAAGGTGGCAATTTCGTAATTAGTGAGAAGTCTCGTGGCATTTATAAATGTTCAGATCTAACGATTGTAAATCTAATCCAAGGGTTGAGAATTGGTCTTACGGGTCTCACGAAAAACCATTGGTCTCACATGATCCCAAGTCTATATATATATATATATATAAATGGTGATTTTACGACAATTGCATGTGTTTTGTCAATTGAAAATTTAAGTAAATAGTGAATGATAAAAAGAAGGGCAAATTGCATGGAAAAATAACGTATTTTTAACTTAATTCCTATTTTGGGTAACGTACTTTCAAAACTTTTATTTTGGTACCTAAGATGTAAAGTTTTAAACATTTAACCACCCGAGTAACCGATTGAAGCATTAACCGGTTATCATGCTGATTTGGCGAGTGATGTGGTATTCAACTCAGTATTATTTGCCGACGTGGTTAGTGACATGAATTTTTTTTAATCTAAAATTAGTCTTTTTTTAATCTAAAATTAGTCTTCAACCAGTTTCCCGGGTACTTAAATGTTTAAAACTTTACATTTTAGATACCAAAATGAAAGTTTTAAAAGTACGATAGTCAAAATATGAATCAAGTTAAAGTAAGTTTTGCGGAATCCTTATTTTTAAACGAATTGGTTTTTTTTACCTTTGGGAAGAATCTCGACTACTTTTTGTATCGTTTTAGGTTTATCTAGAAAGTCATTCGCAAAAAAAAAAAGGTCATATGTGTAGTTATTTTGCACAAATATTGGAAAGTACTCATTTTATGATGGTACGCCCTTAAAGCAGTTAGTTTTGTAATATCCTATTAAAAACAAGCGGGTTTTTAAAAGAAGGCTAGAATTCGAATATGAACCATATGAGGCCCGACCGAAACCAACAACGGTCGTCTCAAGGCCACATGCCAACCAAGCAGGGACGGACCCAGAAATTTTTTCAAACGGTGGCACCATATAATTAATATAGTATAATATACATCTAAAAATAATTACAAAAACTATGGTTTTTATAGTACCGATAGGGATGTAAACGAACCGAACGTTCAGCGAACCGTTCGGTGGGAAGTTCGTTTATGTTCGTTTAGCCCGTTCGTTTAGCCCGTTCGTTTATGTTCGTTCATTTACGTTTGTTTAACATGTTTACGAACGAACATAAACGAACAAGAACACACCTTATTTCTAAACGAACGAACACGAACACACCTTATTTCTAAATGAACGAACACGACGAACACAAAGATTTTCGTTCGTTTACGTTCGTTTAGCATGTTTATGAACGAACATAAACGAACACGAACACACCTTATTTCTAAACGAACGAACACGAACACACCTTATTTCTAAATGAACGAACACGAATACAAAGATTTCCGTTCGTTTACGTTCGTTTAGCATGTTTACGAACGAACATAAACGAAAACGAACACACCTTATTTCTAAACGAACGAACACGAACACAGATTTTCGTTCGTTTACCGTTCTTGTTCGTTCGTTTATTCAATTAAGTTAAAAGAACGAACATGAACAAACCTCTGTTCGTGTTCGTTCGTTCGGTTCATTTACAACCCTAAGTACCGATAAACAACTCCTAAACTTGTACCTGACGCGTCTTCATCTTTTGAAAACGGTCAATATATACCCAAAAATAATTACAAAAAGTATGGTTTTGGTTATTTGGGCTTTTGTTTTGTTTGGGTTTTAGTTGCACCATTTGGATTTCAGGGAAATACGGTAGCACCTTCTAAAACGATACGGTAGCACCGTTAACAAACCTAAATTTTTTACCCTTCGATGACGAAATAATACGGTGGCACGTGCCACCCATGCCACCTCTACAGGTCCGCCTATGCAACCAAGCCATTTTAAACATGGATCTCACCCGAAACTCTAACCCATGACTCGAGTTCATACCAAACTCCAACCCGTGATGAACCATCATCAAACATGCATCCAAATTGGTTCGTTTTTTGTCGATGTTGCTTATTATTTATGTACAACTCGTTGTATAACGTCCGTTTATTTTCATTTTGGCAAAAAACCGACATCTTATTCGAATTACGTGACTCTAATTTAAGTTTTTTGTTATTCATATTTTTGTTGCGTATATTTTTTCTTTATGTTTCCTTATTTTTTATATTATAATTATATATAAAAGAATTGGCTTCCCTTCCAACATTTTTATCCATTTTTATAATATTGAATATGTAGGATAAAGGTTGGGTTACATTGAAAATAAAGATTTAAGATGAGAAGCGTAAGAAGGTATTTCCATATTTGGATTTATATTAGGATGAAATGCACCGAGATGTACCAGAGTCCAGATCAATCTTGGTATCAAGCACGATTCATGAGTGAGTTTGAGATTAAAGATGATCAAGGGTCCAGATACCTTCTCATGCTTCTCGCCTTAACTCTCCTTCTCACACAATCATTTGTCATTCATCTAGGTTGGGTTCCAGTGAGAAGGAGAGTTAAGGTAATAAACATATGAATGAATCTCCATTCTTGGATGTACATTAGAATGAGATGTACAATAAAATGAGATGTACCGAGATGAGCTACACGAAATCAATCCCTGTATCAAACACGATTCATAGGTGGGTTTGAGATTAAAGATGTTCAAGGGTTCAAATCCCTTATTATGCTTCTAATCGTAACTCTCTTTCTCACACGATTCTCTCTCTCTCTCTCTCTCTATATATATATATATATATATATATATATATAGGGTTGGGTTCACGTAAGACCAATGAGACCACTTTTTTATACTTGAAACTTCACAACAAAACATTGTGAATGTAACATTCACAATGTTTTTGTTGTGAAGGTTCAGAGTTTTTTACCTTCACAACATTTTGCTGTGAAGTTTCAAGTGTAAAAAAGTGGTTTCACGGGTCTCACGAAAACAGACTGCTCTCACGTGAGCGCAACCCTATATGTATACCTTCACAGCATTTTGTTGTGAAATTTCAAATGTAAAAATGATGTCGCACGTATCTCATTAAAACAGAATAGTCCTACGTGAACCCAGCCCTGTGTGTGTGTATATATATATATATACTTGGGATCATATGAGACCAAGACATTTTTGTGAGACTCGTAAGACCAATTCTCAACCCTTGGATTCGATTTACAATCTGAACATTCATAATCACAAAATTGCCACGCGACTTCTCAATAATCACAAAATTGTCACCATACAACTTTAGACCATTAGATCATTAGCTTATAAAGTTGATCAATGAACATAAATTGGTCTTACGGGTCTCACAAAAAACTCTTGGTCTCACGTGAACCCAACCCTATATATATATATAGAGAGAGAGAGAGAGGAACGATCAAATGAAAATTACCCTCATTTGTAAAAACCGTACAAACCATTCTCATACGTCGATTTCATTGTTTAATCTTATGAAATTTTTTCATGAAATTATTTAATCTTGTGAAATTGTTTCATATAATATTTTTTTTGATGAATTTGTTTCATATATGGTTATGAAATTGTTTCATATAATATTTAATAAAATTTTAATGAAACTGTTTCATATATTTCTTTAAAATTAAAATAATAAAGAGATAATATCCATGATTAACACCCTCCACAATAAAAATGGTTAATCAACCTCTCATAATTACAAAAAAATAAACAAAATAAAAAATTATTATTGGTTGAATGAGATTTTCACGATTTTTACAAATTGAATGGTTTTTATTTGAACACTCCCTTATATATATATATATATATATATATATATATATATATATATAATCCTGTTAAAATATGAATTTATGTGGCACAAAAATGTATGAAACAACAGCAAACAAGATCAATGATTCCTGGAAATTCCTAAATATGTGAATCATATGTTCACCAATACACCTCCATTTCTATTTATTATGGGCTTTGACTGTTCCCTGTAATATTCCTTAGGGAAGAAAAACGGTTCTTTCGGTTCGATCCATATTAAGTCTAAATTGATTTTAACAGATCAGTCTTAAATCATACCAGACCGTTA